CTACCAACATTTTGAAAGATTCAAGAGTTAAAAAAAAGAGACAAGAGGATTGTAAGAAAAGTTGTAGACAAAATCGTTACAACTCTCCAACCCTTTTGATACTGCACCTGATCACAAATTTTGTTACTGTCATTACGACGGGAAAAACAGTGTACCTCTGAAACACGAATGATTCTTTCTCAATTTTTTTGAATTTGGGCCAAAAAAAGGGAGGTCAGGAAAATTTATCAAAGGCTGCTTTTCAGATCAACAACTTTTGAGAAACCTATTACCAAGAAGGAAAAGTAAGGAAATTTTTTTGCTGCAGTGCCCCTGAAGTCAAAAAATTACATATAAGACGGAAAATCATAGAGTTGCAAAAGGGACAAGGGACTTGTTTGGTCGTGTTTGTTGTATTTTTAAGCTCAAACAAGAGAATTGACTGAAAAAGGTATTTTAGTTTTCCCTCTTTCCAGTTTCCACTTTCCGATTCCAGGAACACATAGATGGCCTCCATTTACAAGACTGACAAAATTTAGTTTAATGCACCAAATTGGGGAGAAAATGAACAGAAAGGACATCACCGACGATTTGTGCAAACCCTTTTTGATGGCAAATTTTCTTTTTTCACACCCCATCGAAAAATTTCCCTTTTACAATGGGTTTAATTATCTAGGATGGTGCTACAAAATTTTTTTGCAAGATGACCAGTTGGGACATTTTTTTTGTGACAATTAAAATTACACCAAAATAAAGGAAAAACGGGGAAAGTAAATAGACGTGGTGAAATTTAAAATAAGGGGTTACTTTAAAAATTGGAAGAGACCAAAAAACGCCCAAAAAATTGGCACAAACTCTGCAAATCATCACAAATTTTAAAAACTTTCTTTCTTCAGGTTCCTTGCATTTTGATTGGGGGAATTTCCCCTTATTCTACCCAATTTTTTCAAAAAAATTTACGTTTTAAACTTGGAATTTTTATGGGCATATTTACCGCTTTTACTGTGAAAAGGGTGGTGCCACAGTTTCGGTTTTTGCATTTCCCCAACCGTATTGATTTGTCACCATGAAAGAGGCCGATACAAGACTTATCTATCAAATAAACGTAAATTCGGACGACAGAGGAAACAACAAAAACTTGAAACTGTTGTGAATAAGAAGCAATGATACTCTGACGTGGCTTTGCTGCTTCTCTATCATGTCACAGGAGTCCAAATGTTATGGATGGATGCTGGTCTAAAAAGATAACACAAGAAGGGTTTTCAATATTGGAATATTTAAAAAGAAACCTTGGCTCTTTCATTTACAGCGCTAATTTCCAGGATTTCCTGCATTTCACAAAAGGATCAGATTACCAGCTTTGTTTATGAATAAAGGAAAAGTAAAACCATTAAGATCTGATGAAAAAACAGGAATTTAATTTGTTTAAAGTGTTTTGTTGCACTTGGAAGAATTCCACTTATACCTGAAGATGAAAACAGTTCAATGTTTGGAATCGTTCGTTTTTGCAAATTATATGGCAAATACAGATCAACAGATGTAAATGAAGTTCGATTCTCGCTCTTTCAAGAGAAGTATTCCTATAATCCTTCAAATTCTAGATATGCTCCGGGTTGTCAAAAATTAAAGGTATGAATCCAAGTTGCATTTGCCACCTTGTAAAAAGGTCCTGAAAGAGAAAATTAAGCGAGCAAACTATGTAGCAGAGCTGTCTGGAAGAGGGCGAAATATCAAAATTCTGTCATAGAAATCGCCCAATGGCCATGGATGGAAGTTGAGTGACAACTGCTTCATTGCTAATTGGGTTTGAAGGCGATCAGTTACCAGAATCAAAATTGTTGATCTTCTAGTAACAAATGCATTGGAAGAAAGTGAAACACATGACCTAGAACCTGACTCTTGTAGTAGAGATCAGAGATTTCTGGACGACGATGGAGCATGAAAGGGATCACATAACCTGTATCAGTAATTAGTAGTAATTTCATGCTATTATGCTGGAAACAGTCTTCAAAAATGAATGACATTAAATCATTACCATGAAATGATTGACAAATTATTACATGATGATTTCTATAAACAATAAATAAGATAAATATATTTATTGATTAGAGTATGTTGAAAAACATTTATATTTACATTAATAGAAAATGATTTGCATTTCATGACTGATAAAACACTTGAAATTGTTATTTATAGCTTCTGTCATTGCATGTTCGTCGTAATGTTAAACACGTTCGTATTGAAAATTGAAGCTAAAATTTGTTATATAATCTTACCTCATTTAAATAATTCAATTTTATATATCTGAAAAATATTTTTAGTGGAAGAATCTAAATGTTAACTTATATCTATTGTTTTCAAAATCAGGGGTCAATATACCCCACCCAATTTCCACATGAATACCAGTTTTCAAAAAAAAGAAAGTGAAATAAATAAATAAATAAATAAATAAAACATAACCAAAACTGTTATATTACATTTGACATTAATTGCATAGCAGAAAAGTAAATTAAAAGTTTGGAAATGAAAAATCTTACTGTTTTATGAAACTCTTTATTTTTTAATTTACCCCACCCACTTTTCGGATGAAAACTCATTTTCACAGCAGAAAATTATTATCTTAGAACAATTGTGCCAGTATCAAACAACTTTTTCTATCCAAAACTACACAAAATGATAAAATTTGCACATAAAAAACACTTTATGATAGATTTAAAAAAACGTTTTTAACATAAAAAATCATTAATTTTAGCATATTTCTGTTGGGGTTTTAGGCACATTTCCTCCTAGAAAGATACATATTTATTTTAAAAGCATTAAATTCATGTAAAATAATATACATTCTATCATTTGCAGTAATAAAACAATATTAGATATCAAAAGATACAACTCAGAAATATATATTTTTATTATACAGGGTGATTTCTTAAAAACTTGGCGGCCATCTTGGCGGCCATCTTGGATTTCCGGTGATTGTAAAAGAGGATATTTTTAAGAAATGGATTTTTTGGAATCTGTACTTATTTTGCTTTCAAATGAGACTAATTATACTTTTTGGACACACATTTGAAATAAATGGCCCCTATCTCTGGTACTATTTATCTAAATAGTTAACATTAAAAGTAATAAATGAAGCTCGTGAAAAACACAGTTTTTATACGCCGCGTATCAGTTATATATGTGTAGAAACTAATACGGACACACGAAGAAGAAATAGCTTTGAATGCATTGTAAATTACAAACAAGGACTATGAAAACAAATCAAACTTTTCATGCAGTTTTACTAATTTCTAAAATGATTAAATTTATAAACATACTTGTACTGTAGGCATTTAGCTTGAATCAAAAACCGTTTTCTGCTATTCATAAACTTATCGTCCCTCTTTCATTTGTAGGTCAATGTTCATGTGAAAATATAAAAATGTATCTGTATTTATAGGTGACATTGTTGGAACGAACAATATTTCACTCTAAATAAAACAGACTGATTGAACTTATATCAAGTAGGTTTTATTCTAGAACTCTTATCTCATCATTTTGTACATGCATCTGATATGTTGTGGGTTGCAATAATATGACATTGAACTGTCCTTTAAGTTATTTGTTTTGCTATATATAACGTTTCCATTATTAACTTGCTTTCATCCGTTGTCTATTTGGTTTTATCTTGACTTGTTTTCAAAATTTGAGAACGAACTATTTTGCAATTCTTTTATCGTTTATTGCCGGTCAGGGTTCTTTTGTTACAAAATGATTTCAAATCTGAGAATTTTAATAAAAATATTTTGCAATTTAGTTTTGTTTATCTAAAGTGGTTTGTGTCGTAACGACAAATATTTTCAACGGATACACTTCTTTTAACCTTTTCTATGCAAATTTTGTTTCAATAACACGGAAATAGAAAATCACATAACTATTTTAAGAAATAAACGATCGTAAAATTTCTACAGTAAGTTGTTAAAACAAAGAGATAAGACTCCAACAATGCAATGTCAGTTGTTGATAAAGTTGTAATTCTTGACACCAATGATATGTTTCAAATATTTCTTAGTCGGTTGCAGAGCAATTGATCATTTCTACAAAAGATTGCAAACCAAACACTTTGCTAAAGATATTTAAGATAGGATAACGCAAGTGCTTGGAAATTTTAAGTTATGAACATGTGTATTCCAATGTTAACGGCTGTTTATCCTATCAATAATCGTATTTATACAGTCTTATCACATGTGTTTGATAAATTTCAAAGAGAAGTTTCGAATTCCAAGGGCATTGTGTGAAAACGATCTATATGTACTAAGATGTTCATCATGAAAATAGATTTTTACTTTAGCATAATCATTTCAAAACTGCTTAGGGTTGTATTTGAAATTTGTGTTTCAAAATGAAGTATAAACATTAGACAAATTTTATGTGGGTTTGCTTGACACTTGTTACCAAATGACTATAGAGAAATTAGGAAAAAAAAAACCAACAAAAACAAATAGATTGTTCTAGTTGATAGACGTATTCAAAAGTTGTGAATTGTATTCTTATTTTGCATTATAAAACCTGTAGCTAATATAGAATTACTAATGACTGATTTTCTGTAATGTATAATTATCTGTTAATGTTACCATGAATGATACATTAATACAACCTTTGATCATCATATTTTCAGTTTTCGTATCTCGCACACGGCCCTTACCAAAAAAAAAGGCTCTCTGGTGAACATTGCGGCAAGTTTGCCGCAAACATTGCGGTGAGTTTGCAGTTAACTGCTTTCAGCAATTATTTACCATGCAAATGAGGTTTGCGGCAAATTTACTGCAAACCTCATTTGCATGGTAAAAGTTTGCAGATGTTCGCCAAAAGTTTGCGGCAAATTTGCAGCAAACTTCATTTGCATAGTAAGTTTGCGGAAATTCGCCAGAAGCTTTTGGTAACACTGCGGCAAACTTCATTTGCATATTTGCCAGTTTCAGCAAATATGTTATGGCGATATTTTGGCGAACATTTTGGTAAAGTTCTGGCAAACAATTTTTTCAAACATTGGAATAATTAAAACTAGCTGAATTATAAGAAAACAAATACATATTGGTTTAACACATTTTTTCAATAGAAAATAAAAGAAATATTACAAACATATCAGTAGAATAAAATGAAATTTGATAAATTTGTAAAATAAAGAAACTAATTCCCGAGTTAAAAAAAGAGATAAATTTTACACACATTTTATTAGCAACTGATTCTATACATATTTGACTTTCATAAATTTCCACTCTTTAGTTATGATTCTATCATGAATTGTTCATATTACTTAATAATCAATTAAAACAAGAGCCGGTTGAACCGGGGTGATCCTCCCCGACTAGGATTTGGACACAGAAAAGTCTATCTTTTGAAGTTTCAGGGTTATGTCCCAGACAAAGTTCAAAGTGTGATAATTCCAAAATAGTTGTAAAATCCCACTTTAAATAACGACGTTATGGGCCAGACACATTTTTGCTTCAAGGTCATGCTGTGACCTTGACCTTCAAGGTAATGACCCAAATGTTGCGTGTGACACATCATCTCAATATGGTTGATCATTTCGGTGGAATAGTTGTAAAATCCGACTTCAAATAACGAATTTATGGGCCGGACACGATTTTACTTCAATGTCATGTTGCGACCTTGACCTTCAAGGTATTGACCCAAATGGTGTGTGTGACACATCGTCTCAATATGGTGATCATTTCTGTGAAATAGTTGTAAAATCCGACATCAAATAACCAAGTTATGGGCCGGACACAATTTTTGTTCAAGGTCATGCTGTGACCTTGACCTTCAAGGTAACGACCCAAATGTTGCGCACGACACATCGTCTCAATATGGTGATCATTACTTTTAAATAGCTTTAAAATCCGACTTCAAATAACGAAGTTATGGGCCGGACATGATTTTTGTTCAAGGTCATGGTGTGACCTTGACCTTCAAGGTAGCGACCCAAATGTTGCGGGCGACACGTCGTCTCAATATGGTGATCATTTCTGTGAAATAGTTTTAAAATCCAACTTGAAATAACAAAGTTATAGGCTGGACACGAATTCGGGTTCGTATGTACGTACAGACAGACGGACAGACAACCCGATGACTATATGCTCCCCCGAAATTTTTCGGGGAGCATAAAAACAATGTTTGACAATAGCTATTATTCAGCACATGTTGCAGTATTTCTTAGCACCAAAAATGGGAAATATAATATTGTTGTAAAAGCTAAAAATCAGAAAAGTTACAGTTTGAAATCTTCTATCTGGACAAAAAGTTTCATTCAAACATGAACTGGCATGGAATAACATACATACTTCGACATCCACTTAGACAAATCACTATTAATAACAATAAATACTAACAAAAGCGTTATGTGTTATGCAAAAACAAACTAGACCAATAATGGCTTTCAAAATTGTAAAAATGAATCTCAAAAATATATTTTGGTCTTATACAAACAACATATTTCATGGACATAATACCTTCAGATTTAAACTCATGTCATATAACATTATGATTGTGAGCAAAACAATATCTGACACGAACAATTATGGCTTTCAAAATTGTTAAAATTAATCACAACAATATATTTGGGTCTTATACAAACAACGAATTTCATAGACATAATTTTTTGTTTGTTTGTTTTGGGTTTTTATGTCACATCGACACAGTATAGGTCATATCGTGACGTTCAGGTGCCCTTCCTTGCATTATTTCATGCACGAACGGGTATCTGAGTAGAACCACCGACGTTCAGTTAAGCCAGCTGGATAGCTTCCTCACATGAAAGAATCCAAAGCCCCTGTCGGGATTCCAACCCACAGTGGTGAGGGGCAAGTGGTTTGAAGTCAATGACCTTAACCACTCGGCCACGGACGCCCCTCATAGACATAATAACTAAAGATTTAAACTAAATGTCTTTAGTCATGTCATATAACGATTGCAAGCAAAACAAAAACAGACTAGAGCAATAATGGCTTTCAAAATTGTAAAAATGAATCTTAACAATATTTTTGGGTCTTATACAAACATAAACATAATAACTTAAGAATAAAACTAAATGTCTTTAGTCATGTCATATAACGATTGCAAGCAAAACAAAAACTGACTAGACAATATCGTAAGTTTGCATGAAATTGGCTTGGCAATTTATGAGATGTTGTTTAAAGATCAAGTTTACGGACGAAAGATAGATAAAAGCTCGCAATGTCACTTTGTAAGCTAAAAACGCACTACTTTACTCTTTCACTCTTCCAAGTTTCAGTGCCCTACCCATTGTGTGTATTTTGGTGTTGATTGCTTTGGTGACTAAGCTACTCTCCATATTTAGTTTATTGATGCAGTACACTGAAAAAAAAAACAAGGTTTATTTTTCATTTACATGTTACCATGTTTATACTGGATAAAACTAGAACTATCACTGAAGGTGAATGATACCCCAAAACCCCACCTTGAAATAAAGTGGCAGTAATCTATTAGTAAAGGCCACCTACAAATGAAGAAAATAAACACCAAAGGCAATTATTATTTATTGGTCAATACACTGGTGCTGGCTTGATTTTGATCTGTTGGGATGAACATGTATTTGCATTGCAAAACCTAGATTTATTTACAAATGACAAGTGGCTCGTATATTATAAGTTTATCTAACTTAGTTATGAAATCAAGGTATTATGTTAAAAACACACCAAAATAACAAACAAGAGCGATTAGTGATCACATGTGTCGCCTCATGATGGCCAATTTCATGTTGGGACAAGTTTTGTGACAGACAGACAGACAGTGCACAACTAGACTTGGTACTGATCATTCCTTTAAAGTTTGGATGAAATTGCACCAGTAGTTTTTGAGGAGTAGTCCGGACAAGCTTTTGTGTATCTGGCAACACACAGAAAAAAAAACACCTTTTCATCAAACTTGCAAAAATATCATTCAACCGGAAAACCTGTGCAATATGTGCAAGGACTTGAGCAACAGATCACTCCTGTAAAGTTTCATTGAAATTGCATTTGTGGTATAAGAGATGTAGTCCAAACAAACTTAAAAAAAAGGCCATACCTCTGACAAAAATCCTTGAACCGGAAAATGCTGACAATATGCACAACTAGACTTGGTACTGATCATTCCTGTAAAGTTTGGATGAAATTGCACCAGTAGTTTATGAGGAGTAGTCTGGACAAGCTTTTGTGTATCTGGCAACACACAGAAAAAAAACACCTTTTTATCAAAGGGCCATAACTCGGCCAAAAATCATTCAACCGGAAAACCCGTGCAATATGCACAAGGACTTAAGCTACAGATCAATCCTGTAAAGTTTCATTGAAATTGCATTAGTGGTATAAGAGAAATAGTCCAGACAAACTTTAAAAATAAAAATTATTAAAGGGCCATAACTCTGACAAAAATCATTGAACCGGAAAATGCTGACAAAATGCACAACTAGACTTGGTACTGTAATTCCTGTAAAGTTTGGATGAAATTGCACCAGTAGTTTATGAGGAGTAGTCCGGACAAGTTTTGTGACGGACGGACAGACAGACAGACGACGGAGAAATGATCCCTATATGTCGCCACTACTCCGTAGAGGCGACACAAAAATGATGCATGCTGTGAACATGACAGCCAGGTCAGAGCTCAAAGTTAAAACCAGGGTCATTCAAATAACCATTAGGATTTTTCTTCTAAATGCCACTGTTTGAAAGAACAATGTTGACTAACCAGTCTTACTTGTATGCAAAACTCACTTTTTCAATTATACATCAATAACAGTGGTTAAAATATACACAGATACTTTTCTGACAAATTCTAAATCATTACTGACATGATAACTGAGAAAAACTAGAAATGTGTCAATAGGACACGGATGCCCCCACACGCCACTGTTCTGTCAATCTTATGACTCTAGGTCAAATAGTTTTTGGACTACATGTGCCACAAGTTGAAAACTAAAAATCGACAAAGGGCCATAATTCTGTTAAATTTGGTTGCAGCAAAAATTCCTTCCTTTATTGCCATCTACACATTAAGTTTGTTAATCCCTGGAAGTTTAAGCAAAATCTGCCATCCGGTTAAAGAGGAGTTGCGTTCACAAAATTTCTACATAGTATATAGTGAAAAAATCAACAAAGGGCCATAATTCTGTTAAATTTGGTTGCAGCAAATATTCCTTCCTTTACTACCATCTACATATTAAGGTTGTTTATCTCTGGAAGTTTAAGCAAAATCTGCCATCCGGTTTAAGAGGAGTTGCGTTCACAAGATTTTGGGACGGACTGACAAGTGCAACGCTATATGCTCCCACATTGTGGGGGCATAAAAATAATCTTATTTTACTTACATGTTAAACTGTCAAATCCTCTTTTGTGCCAGGCAGTATCTACTGCACTGGACATACCACTGCGGCTTTTACAGGGACATTTCGGGGAAAGTCTTAAACTGCTGTGAGGTTTTTCAAGATGTGGACCACTTCTGATTTGTTTTCAACCTTTGACTGTCTGTGAGAACTGTAATTGTAAAAATATTTCAAAAATATTTTCTGTAATTTAAAATTCATCTTTAAACGTAATATTGACAAATATTGAGAAACTACACCAATGAATTGACAATAACTTATTTATAATTAATGTAACACAATGTTCATACTAGAATAAGTTTTGTTAATTATTAATGCTGATTGCACGACTTTTTCCTAACCAATTTTAGTAATCACTTTTATGAAATAATTCGGACTGCATATCGATTATTCATCACATGAAGATACATCAAATTGTTTCTATTGAAGACGACCCCAAATAGCATTACAAAATTATCACAGTATTATCATTTAATTGCTACACCATGATTATAAATATATATAAAATAACCTCATAGATTTCAACTTACAGTTTAATAGGCATTTTTGTTTGATGTATTGTTGAGGATTGTTCATCACAATTGTATAAATCTGACCATTCACTGTCATTTGTAACTGTAGCATCTGACTGAAGAATAGACCTTGAATAAAAAAAAAATACATATGTACAAACAGTATATGGAGAGATATTCATATATTGAAGCAACTGACATAACACAAACAGTTCAACAACACCAGTCAGTTTTGCATAGTCCTTTACTTTCGTAAATAAACAAAATACAGAAAACAAACTACCAGTACTCACTTTAGTGCTGGCGAGGCATCTGGCAAAGAAGATCCCCTAAGATCTTGTCAATAAGACCTTCCATGATGTTGTGTTCTGATAGCATTGATTCTTCATGATGCACATCCCTTAAAAAGAATGCATGTATTTAGTATGAATTTTAGTCTTAACCCTTTACCACATATATACGCGAAACAACGCACTTTTGACCCCCCTCCCCTTTTTTGGGCCTCAAATAGTGAAAAAATGTCCTATTCGGGCCCAAAACACATGTTTTCGTTTGAGAAATGTTGCTTAAAAAATTGAGCACTTTTTCGGCGCCGACCCCCATCCAAAAGATACATCAGGGGGTTGCCAGAAGGGGGATGTGCCCCCTTGTGTTAGGGGGGTTTGAAGGGGGGGCGGAGTCCCCCTCATCGCCAAGAAAATTTTGGACTTGTGAGAGGCTAAAAATGACCCCAGGTCGATCATAATGTAACGTGTAACCAACGCTGAAAAGCCTTTGACTCTATCTCAATCCTTGAGAAGTTGCAGCACTTTGAAATAAATTTTGATTGAAAAAATCGAGGCAAAATAGTGATTTTTGGCAATTTTGAAATGTCCCCTCGTTGCCATGGTAACAGGAAATTTAAGACTGAGCATGTCGTTACAAAGGCAGTGGTCCAGTCAACATTTGTGCCAAGTTTGATTAGTATTGAAGCATTTTTCATAGTTTCATAGCAGTTTGAACTTGAAACAGGAGGCTTTTCAGTGAAAAAGGCCATTTTTCACAATATGCTCATGGGGGAAAGGGTTAACTAAAAAAATTATAAATGTTACAAAACAACAATTTTTCACCAAAATTAGGTGAAAGACCACATGTTAACATGGAAAAACTAGTTTTTAGGTGATTCCAAAGTTTTTCATCATTTTTTGTTAACCCTTTACCACATATATACGCTAAACAACGCACTTTTGACCCCCCCCCCTTTTTTGGGCCTCAAATAGTGAAAAAATGTCCTATTCGGGCCCAAAGCACATGTTTTCGTTTGAGAAATGTTGCTTAAAAAATTGAGCACTTTTTCGGCGCCGACCCCCATCCAAAAGATACATCAGGGGGTTGCCAGAAGGGGGATGTGCCCCCTTGTGTTAGGGGGGTTTGAAGGGGGGCGGAGTCCCCCTCATCGCCAAGAAAATTTTGGACTTGTGAGAGGCTAAAAAATGACCCCAGGTCGATCATAATGTAACGTGTAACCAACGCTGAAAAGCCTTTGACTCTATCTCAATCCCTTGAGAAGTTGCAGCACTTTGAAATAAATTTTGATTGAAAAAATCGAGGCAAAATAGTGATTTTTGGCAATTTTGAAATGTCCCCTCGTTGCCATGGTAACAGGAAATTTAAGACTGAGCATGTCGTTACAAAGGCAGTGGTCCAGTCAACATTTGTGCCAAGTTTGATTAGTATTGAAGCATTTTGCATAGTTTCATAGCAGTTTGAACTTGTAACAGGAGGCTTTTTCAGTGAAAAAGGCCATTTTTCACAATATGCTCATGGGGGAAAGGGTTAACTAAAAAAATTATAAATGTTACAAAACAACAATTTTTCACCAAAATTAGGTGAAAGACCAAATGTTAACATGGAAAAACTAGTTTTTAGGTGATTCCAAAGTTTTTCATCATTTTTTGTTAACCCTTTACCACATATATACGCGAAACAACGCACTTTTGACCCCCCCCCCCTTTTTTGGGCCTCAAATAGTGAAAAAATGTCCTATTTGGGCCCAAAACACATGTTTTCGTTTGAGAAATGTTGCTTAAAAAATTGAGCACTTTTTCGGCTCCGACCCCCATCCAAAAGATACATCAGGGGTTTGCCAGAAGGGGGATGTGCCCCCTTGTGTTAGGGGGGTTTGAAGGGGGGCGGAGTCCCCCGTCATCGCCAAGAAAATTTTGGACTTGTGAGAGGCTAAAAATGACCCAGGTCGATCATAATGTAACGTGTAACCAACGCTGAAAAGCCTTTGACTCTATCTCAATCCCTTGAGAAGTTGCAGCACTTTGAAATAAATTTTGATTGAAAAAATCGAGGCAAAATAGTGATTTTTGGCAATTTTGAAATGTCCCCTCGTTGCCATGGTAACAGGAAATTTAAGACTGAGCATGTCGTTACAAAGGCAGTGGTCCAGTCAACATTTGTGCCAAGTTTGATTAGTATTGAAGCATTTTTCATAGTTTCATAGCAGTTTGAACTTGTAACAGGAGGCTTTTCAGTGAAAAAGGCCATTTTTCACAATATGCTCATGGGGGAAAGGGTTAAACCAATGAAGGTAAAATATGATAAACAAGATCAACAAGGAAAGGCGGCGTTCAATGAACGCAACCCCCATATGACCCAGCAACAAGTACCAATGGCAAGGAGCCCAGGCGGACCCAGTTTGTCATGTAGAAATAAATACTTTTAAAAAAAAACAATTACACATTCACGTTATTTTGAAGAAAAAAAAATATGTACATGAATATAGAGTAACATGCAAAAACAACAAAGCCATTGTTTAAAAATTCTTTTCTCATATATGGATTGTATAATATTCTTTGGTTCCCTAAACCACGAGTGTGCCAGCAATATAGGATTATACCATGATAAGCTGCATAGACATATAATTACAAAATAATTTTTTCAAATTCTTCCAATTCAATTACATGTTATTTCGAAAATATCATTGTAAATGTGTCTTACTCCATTTCCTTGATCTTTCGCAGCAGATTCTGTCGACATAGAAGCCACTGTCTCAATGATATTTCAAACACGTCTCTCCATTTCTTTTTATGTTTTTATTTCCAATTGTTGGTATATTGAGTGTTGACAACAAATTGTTGACCCTCACCGGCCCACCTACACTATCAATCATTGCTGTAAGAAAATGAAAAGAAACAAATTATTTCATTTAAGTATACAAATATTTTGTGAAAAAAAACTTCACATGGGTTGTAATTTACATAACCGTGATAATAACACATTGCATAAATTTATATAAAGCTATTTTTAGCTGCCTCATGTATGTTGAATATTACTGTGACTGTGTGTATTGGCAGCCTAGTGTAAACTGTGTCTTTTATATAATGTATATGTAGGATTATGTAATGTCTTAATAAAAATTGCATTGTTGCAAGATTTAATTTAGCAACGTTTTATCATTTGTTTTTCAAATTTCTCAGTGACTTTGGGGAAATTAAAACTGTTCAGAGGGAAGTTTATAAAAAATTTCACAATAGGAAGTGGCTAGCCGTACAGGCCCGTACGGCTAGCCAAAAGTTCTAGCCGTACATGAGTCACGTACGACTAGCCAGGACACACTGTATTGGCTAGCCGTACGGCACTTTTCAAAATTATATGGAGTACGTGAGTCACGTACGGCTAGAACTTTTGGCTAGCCGTACGGCTAGCCACTTCCTTCACAATAAGGAGTAGTGTTTTACAGCTCAACACAAACAAGGTACATGTATTCTGTATAATAAATTAATTATTTATAAATCTGAAACATAAATTTGGTCCGCATAATTTCTCTCATAATTTTACATGTTTGACATCATTGGAAGACAAGTAGATAAACACTGATAAATGTATATTCATTTTGGTACGAGACCTTACATCTATGAATTCATAATCAGTATATAGTACTTAATCTAAAGTATGATGCAATACATTAATTACTTACCTGTTCCTAATTTTGTGTTGACAACGAAACATGGCATTCCAATAGCAACCCCACACCAATTTTTTTATTTTATTGTATTTATAAACAATTTATTTCATCTTATAGTGCTCATTATAAGCATTTCAGAACAGTTTTCCTTTTCTAAATATCTTTAAAAATAAAAAAGTTATGGCATTTAATAATGTTGAAATTTGCGCATTTTTTAAGAATTTTTACTATATACAGTCAATAAGAAATGCTTGCGCGTTGACGGAACCGAAATGACTTCGTTTATGACAAATTTCACATTTAAAATACCATAACTTTTTTATTATTTGAGATATTTTGATGAAATTTGGAATATAGGTAGATTAGGTGTTACTGAATATAACTGTGTTATTTTACAGACCATTAAATGTAGAAGAGCAATTACTTAGTCTAATACAGTGGGGCAAGGTATCGATAAATTTTTTGAAAAAATTTATTCATTTTTCATTTATCGACATATATAAAGTAACAAGAAACTACAGCAGCACTGTATAATGAAATCCAACATGAATGAATATCAAATTGCTCTACAGCATCTGCAATGTCATGCTTTTATCTTTTTTTTCTCTTCTCAAAAAAATAATTATTCACTTCTTTTGCAGTTAGTAAATAACTCTCTTCTTCCAGAACTCCCGCAGTCTCGAATTATAGCAGTATATTCTAAATTGAACATAAGTCAAACAGCCGAAATTCCTCACTAGACCAAAAGAAATGAAATTGAATTTGATTTGCTATTAATTGAGATCAAAATTAAGAATGTTTTTCATTGCTAACATAAATTGATGCACCTGGATATCAGTTGTCTTTGTCAAGAGCTCTATAATATCAATATGATTTATTTTGCCGATAAATGCCAGTCAGTAGGACATAATTGTTTAAATTAATTAATGTTATTTATAAGGATCTGCTTCTCCCATTTTCCAGATTTGTTTTAAAAGGAGTCTTCTTCATCTTTAACCATTTTCTTTGAAATTAGTTGACTTCATTTCATCGGATTTCAATGAATAAGCATACATCTCGGCAATTAAACATACTTCCACATTACAATTTTGGGGCAGTTCTTGCAATGATTGGTAATGTATACTGTTATCATATATTTTGCAGATAAATGCCAGTTGGTATCATATACTTTTTAAATGCTATTGAATGATCTGCTTCTCCCCTTTTCCAGATGTTTTTTAAAGGAGTTTCATCTTTAACCATTATCTTTGAAATTAGTCGACTCCATTTCTTAACATAGCTGATTTGGGATTTCAATGAATATAAAGCAGACATCTCAGCATCCCCATTAATAATTTTGGGACAGTTCTTGTTGTGTTTGGTAATGTATACTACTATATGACAAGATTTATTCATTAACAGCATTGGTTTGTCATCTTATATTTGTCTAAAT